ATGCCAAATTAAGATTAAAATTGGTATGCAAAATGATTACCTTAAATGCATTTCTTATTATAAGTTAACTTGTATGCATAAGTTATTCATTCAATCAAAAGAAATTAATTCTGCTGTTTCTGGTTTCGAATCCTCTTTTACTTGGGAAGATTCATTTGATGCAGCTGGTAGAGAAGTTGGTGGTTGATATTGTAATTGTTGTCCTTGAGATACTGGAACTTGAGTTATACCTTGCATAGTTGGTACACCAGGTGTCTGAGAACCTTGTATTGGTGGATTCGATGTTAAAATCGATCCAGTTGTAGTTCCAGATGGTATTTGAATTGTTGCTGATCCTTGGGATGAAATAGGTGTATTTGAAACATGAGGTTGCATCGAAGATCCTTGAGGACCTGGCATTGAAGATGATTGTTGAGGTCCCATTTGCAGACCTACGACTTGTCCTGGAGGACCGTGTGCTCCAGGTCCCATTTGTGCAGGTGATGGACCCATATGACTTTGTGGTACCTGAGGTATAGTATGAGGAATTTGATTTGGTGGTCCTGGTTGTGTAATTTGTGGACCCTGATGCGGCGGCATATGCACTGCTGTTGATTGTGTTTGTGTCATATGACTTGGTGGAGGACCTTGTTGCGATGGAGGTCCCATTTGATGTCCACCTGTCTGCTGAAGTTGCGGTATGGGATTTGTAATTTGAGACATCTTCAAAAAAAAATATAGAAAATAATTAAATAAAATATATGAATCAAAATATTTTTTAAATTATATAAAAAACAAAGAAATATTTTTTAAAAATATTGAAAACAAATATATATAAATGTATATAAATATATTTAGAATTATACTAACTATTCCTGGTCCAGAAACAGAAACTCGACCCATCGCCTCATGTCCCTGGACAGGATCAGTTGGTTGTTCTTGATTTGTTATTGGTCCCATTACGTGAGGTGGCATAGAATTCATTGGTGGTATATTATAACCTTGCATGGGATATTGTTTCATAGAAGGTTGCCCATATATAAATCCTTGATTAGTTGGCGACATAGGATTATAGTTAGTTCCTGGTGTTTGATACTGAACGTGACGAACAGGTGAACCTTGAGATGGTCCAATAAAACCAGAAACTGCTTGATAACCACCTAAATCATATTTAATGTAATAAAAATTATTTCATATTTAATTCAATTTACTTTATTGAATTTATATGTATACCCATTATATATTGTTGCTTTTGTTGTTCTTGTCTCATTTGCATTTCTCTTTCTTGTTCTTGAATTTTTTGTAAAGCAAGCTGACGTTGATATTGCAAATATTCTTGTTTTTTCTTTCTCATAATTGCCAATTTTTGAGCCATCAACATTTGTCTTTGTCTTTCAGCTTCTTCTGCTTGTCTTCGTAATTTTTCTCTATGTTCTTCTCGTAAAGCATCTAAAGCAGCTCTAGCATCTTTCATTTGTGTTAATTTATCCTGAAGACCTTCATAATATACTCTACTATCATCTTGTTCTTGAATGTATCTCAATAATCTAAAAAAATTTATTATATGATAAAATTTTGTATATGTATAAATTAAAAATATTCTTTGAAACAAACCTGGAATGCATAGCAGTAATATTTAAAAACAAAGTTTGTACTGAACTATCATTAGCAATTGATCTTCCTCTTGATGAATTACTTTTCATTCTATTAACAAAAATTTCAACTTGAGAACGTAAAGCATTAACAAATTCTTCCATTTGATTATCAACTTCTCCATTCTGTTGTTTTGTGATTATAACTTTTTGTGGCATTGGACTACTTATATTAGGAGCTGAAGGACTTGTAACATCTGCTCTGGAACTATGCTCTTCAAGTGCACTTTGTCTCAGTTCCCAACGTTTACGATTCAAATATTTAGCAAGTTCTGGATCAACTTCTGCTTCTTCTTGCTGAAAAATAAAATTTATAATACATTTATAATATATATAAAGTATTTCTTTTATCTCGCAAAATAAAAATACAGATTTAATATATCAAAAAAATGTTTTTACAAAAATTTGCTTTACAAAAAAACATTATGATGCAAATTATTTTTCTGTAAGTTTTTTTTATAGTGAAAAAGATTTTAACATAAATAGAGCCAATTTAATACAATTTCAGATTTCAATTTCAGATTAATCAATTTATTTGAATATTTTCTATAAAATATATTATTATTATTTATTTTGTCTATTATCTCATTTATTAATACTTATATGTTCTATAGATTTTAACTAGAAATAGTAGCTAGTAAAAAAAAATTTGTGTTTTCTATGTATTAGTACAAAGATTATCTTACTGAACTAGAGTCAATCATAAATTATTATTTTCTCTTGAATTAAAATATTTTCTAAACCGATATTAATAATAATTAAGTATAAATAGTTAATAATTTTTTATAAAAATTTTGCGAGATAAAAAAAACATCTTATACATATATTTTTTTTTAGTTTGTGTTTTTGTAAACAAACAGGTGATGGCGGTGGTGAAGATGTTCTCACAACACGTGTATTAGGAGGATTTATTTTTGCTGCACGATTTCCTCTTTTTTTTTCTTTCTCTTGATGTTCTGCTTCACTTTGACTTAAAGCTATAGCAAGATTAAGTTCTTCTTCTTCTTGCAACTCAGCTGCTGTTTTTCTAGGAGGTACCTAATAAAATAGAATATTTTTATTTTATACATATTTTTCATTTTAATTTTCATTTTTAATTTTTAATTTTTTTATGCAATTGCATACTTGCTGTTGTTGAGCTAAAGAACTGTTAAGATATTCAGCAGGTAAATCTGCTTCTTTAATTTGAGCTGTAGATGGTCTATAAAAATAAATGAAATAATTGAAAACAAAGTAAAAGTTATAATATAATAAATAAGTATAATATAATAAAAGTTATAATATATTATAATAAAAATGTAATACTTACTTATTAAGTTGTTCATAACATGCTTCACAAACTCTAACTTCCTTTTCAATTCCAAACTTAGGCAGTGTAGATACTTTACTTGAACACTGACTACAAAATACTTGACCACATGCTCTACAATGATGTTTTCTTTGTACCATTCCAAATGATACTCGACAACGATGACACACATCTCCATCTGCCCATGCTGGAGCAGTATCAGCAATAAACATAGCATCACTTTCTTTCAAAGTAGGAAATTTATGTCCTTCAGCTTTCATTATGTTAAGTGTATCCTAAATATTTTATTAATATTAATATTTTACATTATTAAAAATAAAATACAACATATAAGCATTTTTATTTAACATACTTGCACTGCTCTATATTTAGGACTATTACGAAATGCATGAGCCCAAGCTTGAATCAATTCTAAAGTTTTAAGTTTAACATTTTCATGTGTTGTTGTTTTTACTAACTCTTTAAGTTGTTCCATATATTGTTTGGTACCAATTTCATCATGTATCAATGTACCACAATTTTTGACACAAGATTCTAGAACCTTAATAATAAAACAACATGTTTGTAATATAAATAATAATAAATAAATAACAAAATATTTATCAAAGCATTAAGTTTTCTTACCAATAGAGCAAATAAAGCTACATGTGGATTTGCATTTGTCATTTTCTTTTTTATAGCTGCGAGTGCTGCTTTTGGTCTGTATATGTAAAAATATATAATATATAAAATTTGATTTTTTTTTATTAATTCATATAAATATAATAAGATATTAATAATATAATAATAATTAGATATTATTATTGTTATCAATAATGGTGAAAATATATATAAAAAAAATTAAGAAGGTTTAAATAATTTTCAATTTAAAAAATAACTTTAAAAATATATACATTTTAAAACTAAAACATTGTTGTTTCATCATTACATTAAAAAATAGTAAGGTTAGCTTTAGGTTAAATGATAAATGATTCACTTACTGCACGTCTCCTTGACGTATTAAATCACATATTTGGAGTATTGCTACCCAATCAGGTTCAAGATGCAAATGACTCGTTGCTTTATCTAATAAAAAAATTAATATAATTTGACAATCGGACATTTTGTTCACTTGATATAATGAAAAAAATTTACCTAATAATTTATCAAAAGTAAGCGAACTACGAAACATTTTGCTTAAAAATGATTTTTATTTAGAATTTTCTTTAAATGCTTAAACTTTTCCGAATATTTTTGTATAACCGACAATTAACTCAATTTAACAACTACTATTTCGTACACAGCACTGCTGTTCTACTAACTGACTGTAATATAGTAAAATATGAGTATTAGTCACGTGATTTGTTCACGCAGATTATAATCGACCAATGCAATCGATTGTGCGAGAAACGAACGAGACAATCGATTTGATTTAGTAAATTTTTAAATTTTCAAAATATATCAAAAATTAGAAATCAAAAATTATGATAAAATATTTGTAATTAATTCAAACAATATTACAAACAATATTACATAATAAGAAAAAAAATTTTAAAGCTTTAGAATGATAATCTATGTTGTTATTATCAGTAAAATAAAAAAAAATTGTAAAACTCTTTTCTACTTCATCAAAAAATTTATTTATTTATTGATATTTGCAAAAAATCTAATACAGACACACACAATATTTATACACATTCAATAACAATTTTAGAAATGCTTCATGTTTATCATTAAATCGTAATAAACGCGTTATGTAGCACTTCTTTTTTTTACTTATTTAAAATAAGTAATATTTTAACATAGATATCTTTCTATAAAAATTATAGAAAGAAATAAAGATAATAAATGAGATGTTTTATATAAAGGAAGGAACAATTAGAATAATTGACACATAATTATATACAAAATTATCTTTGCAAAGTTAATTTTGTACTGTATTCAGAATATGGTGCTGAGGTTTCTATATATGCACATAAAATTTCATATTATGTTATAAAGCGTTTTAAAATAAAGTGTTATTATAAAATTATGAATACGTAGTCGCATATAAAAATGTTCAAATATGTATCACAAATTACTGAATACAGTCGAATATTGCATACAAGTCCCTCAACCAAAAATCCCAATTTTCACAATATATGATTTTCCAACGACTTTACGATTTCATAGCGAAAAATCATAAGAAAATTCTAGTTATATTTTTCAATAATTATTACGAATTAATTCCTATACATAAATCAATATAGACTATAATTATTAATTGCCACAAGATGACTGCTGAAGATCTGAATATTTTTTATGAGATCTTCCGTAGCCATGTTATGCATATATATATTTAAATATATTCTAATATCTTTCCTTCAAATATAATTATAAAACAAGATAACGTAAGAAATTATCCTGAGAGTTTACTGTCCTTTCGAACTATTAAAACTTTCTATCGAGATAAAGAAAATATTTTTTAATAATTCATAAACTTTAAATTTCTAGCAGACAAATTAATTTTTTCTATTGGAATCTTCCATTTCTTATCCCAATTCTCAACATTATCTTCCAGCGCAGATGCACACATTGGTAATCGTAAAGTACGTTCGCATCTTCTCGAAATCGACCAATACAAGTAGTTTTGTGGACATTTGTACATATAAGCCTGAAGATTGCCATTGAAATCTCGTTTGCAATTATAGAATATGTTGCTGCAACCTAATTTATAAGGATAATGACCCTCTTCCGGACAAAATGATTCGTTTGACACTTTTATCTAAAATTGAAACATATATATTTTAAACAAAATGCATATAAACTTATATATATATATATATATCAAATTGTTTAAAATGGTATACTCACAGGAGATACTTCACTCTTCTCCAATCTTCTATAAAATCTACCAATTGCTTTACTACTAGTACAAGGTTTAGTGGCTTTACTTTCAGACAAACATTGCATTTTTTGTTCATCGTAAATTTTTCCCTCTGGACAGCTTAATACAAGTACATTTATCTCCATATTACCTTCAATGGTACATTGATAAAATAGATTGCAGTATTTTGGATGTCTTCGGAAACCTGTTGGACAGATTAGTGCTATCTGTTCGTCAGTTAAGTTTCCGATTGGACAAGGCGTTTGAATAGAAGGTTCCATGGTAGAAATCGATATTTGTGTAGTGGATTTTTGAGATTCTGTCGTTGAAGTCGATATTTCAGTGGATTCAGTAATTTGTTCCGAGCTGGATTCCGTATTACTTTCAGTAGTTCCTGCAGAAGTTGATTCTATCGTTATAGTAGAACTAGAATCTGTACTTACTTCAGTTGTAATAGCTTCTGAAGTTGATTCTGTGGTTGCTTCTGAAATCAATTCGGTAGTTGTTTCGGTAGTAGATATTGATTCTATAGTTGCTTGAGATTCACTAGTTGTTTCAGATGTTGATTCTGTAGTTGCTTGAGTCGTGGATTCACTAGTTGATTCACTAGTAGATTCTGTAGTTACTTCAGACATAGTAGTAGTTTCGAAAGTGGATCCAGTGATTGCTTCAGATGTAGATTCCGTATTTATTTCAGACGTAGATTCGGTTGATACTTGAGACGTAGATTCTGAATTTGATTCAGTTGTGGATTCTGAAGTCGTAGATGATTCAGATGTTGACTCAATTGTAGACGATTCAGAGGTTGTTTCAGATGTAGATTCTGTTGTTGCTTCAGAAGTAAATTGCGTACTTGATTCTATAGTTGTGCTCGTTTGCGTCGAGGATGAAGTTGTAGATTCAATTTCTTCAGTTGTTATCGACTGTGTTGTAAATTCAGTAGAAAATGTTGTTTGTTCTGTACTAGTAGACGAACTCGACGTAGGCATTTTACAATCTCTTGGAGGATAGACTGATTCGGGATAATTACATACGTTAATGCTAGGATCAAATATAGTTCCAGGTGCACAATCGAAATAATATACGTTAAAACCATTCCCATTATCGACGCAACGATAGAATTTGTTACACTGTGTTGGATGCGGATAGAAACCTGGTTTGTTACAAACTATGATATTGTTAGGATTTTTCGAAGTACAGTCTGAAATACTTGATTCTGTAGAAGATATCGAAGAAGTTGAGGATACAGAAGTTGAGTTTTCAGTATTCGATGATTGTACTTCCGTTGTACTCGTACTTGTAGGAATTAGCGTACTGTTAGTAATTGAACTAATAGTAGTAATAGTAGAACTACTAGTAATAGTAGAACTACTAGGTGTTGTTAAATCAGATGCTGCAGAAGTGCTTGAAGATTCTTGAATATGATCTTTATTGTCTGAAGAGCAAGAAGTTACCTGGTCAATATAATTACAAGTTTGAAGAATTTGATCCCAAGCCGTACCAGGTGCACAGTCAAAGTCATATCGTTGTAATCCATTTTGAGAATGTACACAACGGTAGAATTTCGTACAATCGTTTGGATTTGGGAAAAAACCTTCTTCTGAGCATTGCGCTGTTCCAGAAGATGAACTGGTTATAGTAGTTCCTGATGTTGGTGTAATAATGCTCTCCGGTGGCAAATATGAAACGGATATTGTAATACCTGGAGATATTGATTCAGAATTGGCCGTAGTTGTTTCAGATATAGGTGGTATGGTGGAAGCTGATTGTGTAGATTCAGAACTAGTACTTGTTTCAGATGCAGTGGGAGATGATACAGTAGTTGTTTCTGGGTTAGATGTTGCACTGCTCTCTGGTGGCAAGTATGAAACAGATTCTGTAATACTTGGAGATATTGATTCAGAACTGGTTGTACTTGTTTCAATTGGAAGTGACGTAGTAGAAAGTGATATTGTAGATTGAGAACTCGTTGATTCAGATGTGGAAGATGGCAGAGTAGGTTGAGTGATAGGAATATTTGATTCAGCTGTAGAAAACATAGTGGATGGTGATACTGTTGATGTAATAATTGTTGAAATATCTGTTTGTACGTTGGTTAACGATGTAACATCAGATGATGATGTCGATGAAACTGATGGACTAGTTAATATAGAAGATGTTGTGCTGTCCGATGATATACTTTCTGTTTGTATACTTGATTGACTAGAATTGCTATTAATTTCATTTTCAGATGAATTTGATTCTGTAGTGACCATAGATCCATTACAACTAGTAACGAGATAATCGTGATTACAACTTTGAAGAGCTGAATCCCAAGCAGTACCAGTACCACACTGGAACTCATACTTGATAAATGTTGAGCCATTACCGACACAACGATAGAATTTACGACAATCTTCAGGATCAGGAAAGAATCCTTCTTGAGTACATTCTATTTCAGGAGACGTACTAACTGTTATGGTCGCCGCAGTAGTAGTAGATAGTATATTTACAGGAGGTAAATAGGATATTGATTCTGTAACAGTTCCAGAAGAAGTGGATCCGGGTTCAATTGTCTGAGTAGTAAGAGAAACGGATGAAACAGTGGATGAAGATGTTTCTTTAGATATACTAGATGCAGTAGTAGTAACAGTAACATCGTGGTCAGTTGAATCTTGATCTGTAGTAGTGCTCAAAGAAATGGTTGACTCTGGATAAGAAGTGACTGAAGAACTGGATGAACTAGATCCCCCTTTACAATTTGAAACGAGGTAATTATGATTGCAACTCTGAAGAGTAGAATCCCAAGCAGTACCAGGACCGCATAAAAATTCATATTTAATAAATGATGAACCACTTCCGATACAACGATAAAATTTATGACAATCTTCAGGATCAGGGAAAAATCCTTCTTCGGTACACGTACCAGGAACGTTTGTGCTTCCAGGGATACCTAAAAGATACATTAATAACTAAACACATATAACTTTTATAAATAAGATATATATATATAATTATATTTATAAAATATATTATTTTAATAATCATAAAATAACATTGATAACATTGCAATACCTGAAGAAATATTAGGCGTGCCAGAAGTACCAGAAGTAACAGATATATTAGGTGCACTAGAAGTATCAGCAGATTGAGATGAATTAGAAGAAATAGGAGAACTGGAAGCACTGCTAGTGATAGGCTCACTAACAGAAGCAAAGGTCGAAGAAATGTTTTGTGTAATAAATGTGCTAATAGATAAGGGATAAGGAGTATTAGAAGTTCCTAATGTTTTTGAAGTCACAAGAGTTTTTGTACTAACTGTAGTTTCAGTAGTTGAAAATTCTGAATTATTAAAAATTTCTGTGCTCACTGCAACTTTAGTGACTGTAGGTTCTAGAGTGACAGGTGATTCTGTACTAACTGAGACTTCAGTAGTAGGTGGAGATTTTGGATTATCAGGAGTTTCTGTGCTAAGTGTAGAAGTAGTTAGAAGTATTGAAGTGCCAGAAGATTGTGTGGCTTCAGTAGTGACAAAAGATTCTGGAGTATCAGGAGTTTCTGTGCTTACTGTAGTTTTATGAGTAACTGGAGGTACTGCAGTGCTCGAAGATTGTACTTCAGTTGTGAGTGTAGATTCTGGATTACTAGAACTTTCTGTGCTCACTGTGATTTTAGTGATTATTTCTGGAATGCCAGGAGATTCTGTACTAATTGAAGTTTCAGTAGTGAGTGGAGATTGACTACCAGGAGTTTCTGTGTTCACTATAGGAATAGTCGGAGGTATTGAACTGCCAGAAGATTGTGTAGCTTCAGTTGTGGGTGTAGATTTTGGACTACTAAGAGTTTCTATGCTCACTATGTTTTTAGTGGCTGTAGATTCTGGAGTTGCAGGAGATTCTGTACTAACTAAGGTTTCAGTAATCGGTGGAGATTCTGGATTACCAGGAGTTTCAGTGCTCATTATAGCTTCAGGAGTAACTGGAGGTATTGGAGTGTCCGAAGATTCTCTGGATTCAGTTGTGAGTAAAGATTCTGGAGTGCCAGGAGATTCTGTACTAATTGAAGTTTCAGTAGTGAGTGGAGATTCTGAATTACTAGCAGTTTCTGTATTCACTATAGGAGTAGCCGGAAATATCGAAGTGCTAAAAGATTGTGTAGTTTCAGTAGTGACAGAAGATTCTGAAGTATTAGGAATTTCTGTGCTTACTGTAGCTTCAGAAGTAACTGGAGGTACTGAAGTGTTTGAAGATTGTGTGGTTTCAATTGTCGGTGGAGATTCTGGAGTTTCTGTACTCACTGTAATTTCAGTGGCTGTAGATTCTAGAGTAGTAGCAGGAGATTTTGTATTAACTGAGGTTTCAGTAATCGGTGGAAATTTTGAAGCATGAGTTTCTGTGCTCACTGTAACTTCAGAAGTAACTGGAGGTGTTGGAGTGTTAGAAGATTGTGAGGCTTCAATAGTGGATGGAGATTCTGGACTGGCTTCAGGTTCTGTGGTCAATGTAGCTTCAGATGCTGGAGGTTTTAGACTAGTAGGAATTTTTGTACTGAATGTGGTTTTAATCATGCTTGAAGTTTCTGTACTTATTGTAATTTCAGGAGCGGCTGGAGTTTCAGGTGTGTGATGTGCACTTATTGAAGATCCAGATACAATGGTCGTTGTTAGTTTAGTATGTGTGTTTGTTGTTTCAAATTGCCCAGGCGTGTTTGGAATTATTGTTGCAGTGCTATTTGATCCATGCGTGCTGAGTGTTGCTAAAGAGTTTAATGAACTCTTATTGTTATCTGTACCAGTATTACCAGGAGTTGGAGTAGTTGTTAATTTAAGTGCAGTAGTGCCTGTTCCAGTAATAGTATTAGTATTAATTATATTAATGTTTCTATATTTACTTGTCTTGTTATGTGTAATGGATGTTTTGACATACCAATGGTTTGAGAAGAATTTGAAATCTCATTTGATGAATCTGGTCTTTCAGGCGTTCCAGGTGTCCCATGTGTTCCAGATGATTCTGATGTTTCAGAAGATTCAGTTGTGCTTGAAGAATCTGAAATTTCAGATGTTGTAGATGTTTCAGGCATTTCAGAAGTTCCAGGCATTCCTGGGCTGCCAGAAGTTTCAGGAGTTCCAGGTGTGCCAGGAATGCCAGATGTACCAGGACTTGCAGGTGTGCCAGGACTTGCAGGTGTGCTAGATATTCCTGAAGAGTCAGGAATGCTAGGTGTGCTAGGACTTGTAGGCGTGCCAGAAGTTTCAGGCATGCTAGGTATTTCTGAAGTATCAGATGTGCCAGGAATTCCAGGTGTGTCAGAAATTCCAGGTGTGCCAGAAGTTCCAGGTATGCC